GGAGAGCGTGAACGACGGTTCGTGGTGAGCAGGGAGCGTGATGTTCGTGGCTGGCAGGGATGCGTGAGGTCAGTCAGTGAGCAGCGAGCGTGGGTCGTGCTGCAGCACGGGAGCTGAGTTCGTGCGGAGCAGGGAGCGTGAGGTTCGTGTCGCAGCAGCGAGCGTGACGGTTCGTGGTGAGCAGGGAGCGGTGAGGTTCCGTGCGTGAGCAGGGAGCCGTAGTTTCAGTTGTGAGCAGGGAGGTGACGTTCGCTGGGCGCTGAGCAGGGAGCGTAGGTTCGTGTGTGAGCAGGGAGCGTGAGGTTACGTAGTGAGCAGGACGAGCGATGAATCAGGTTCGTGGTCGAGGCAGAGACGCTGACGTTCCGTGCGGAGCAGGAGCGTGCAGGTTCGCTCTGAGCAGGGAAGCGTGAACGGTTCGTGGCTGAGCAGGAGATTGACGTTCGTGTGAGCAGGAGCGTCGAGTTTCCGTGGTGAGCAGGAGCGTGAGCGATTCGTGTGCAGCAGACCGAGCGTGAGGTTCTGGTGAGCCAAGGACGCGTCTGAGGTTCGTGGTGACCAGGAGCGTGAAGGTTATCGTGGTGAGCAGGCGCTGTGAGGTTTTGCGTGAGCAGGGTGAGCGTGAGTGTTCGTGGTGAGCACGGGAGCGTGACGGTGTCGTGGTAGAGCACGGCAGCGATGACGGGTTCTTCAGTTGAGCAGGGAGCGTGAGGTTCGCTGGTGAGCCAGGAGCCCTGAGGTTCGTGGTGAGCACGGGAGCTGAGGACATCGTGTGAGCAGGAGCGTGAGGTTCGTGTGAGCAGGTGAGCGTGAGGTTCGTTGTGAGCAGAGAGCGTGCAGAATCGTGCTAGCCAGGGAGCCGTGGGTTCGTGCTGAGCAGGAGCGTCGAGCGTGCGCTTGCGAGCCACGGAGCGTGACGGTTCGATGTGAGCAGGACCGTGCAGGTCTGCGTGGCAGGAACGTATCAGGTTCGTGCCGAGCAGGAGCTTGAGCGCTTCGCTGTGAGCAGCAGAGCGTGACGTTCGTTCCGTCAGGGAGCAGCGAGCGTAGAGTTCGTAGGCTGAGCGTGGGCGTCTGAGCGTTCCGATGAGCAGCGGAAGCGTGAGGTTCGCTGCTGAGCAGGCAGCGGATGCGTTCGTGGTGGCGTGGAGCGCTGAGGCGTTCGTGCTGAGCCAGGAGCGTGAATGCGTTCTGAGCAGCGAGCGTAGAGTTTCGTGTGAGCGTCGAGCGTTCATGCTGAGCAGGAGCGTGAGCTGTCGTCGAGTGAGCGTGAGGTTCGGCTGAGCAGGGAGCGTAGGTTCTTTGTCAGGAGCGTGAGGGGTTCGTGCTGAGCAGGTGACGCGTGGAGATCGTGTGAGCACGCAGGTGAGTAGTTGCGCTGAGGCAGGGAAGCGAGTTCGTGGGAGCACGCGATGCGTTGAGGTTCGTTGGTGAGCAGGAGCGTGACGAGGTGGTTCGTGGCTGACCAGGAGCGTACGGTTCTGGTGAGCAGGAAGCGTGACGGTTTTGTGGGTTGTGTGCAGTCATGGGAGCGTGAGTTCGCTGGATGAGAAAGGCGAGGTTAGGTATCGTGTGAGCAGCGAGCTGTGAGTTCGTGCAGTGAGCGTGAGGTATCGTCGATGATCACGGAGCGTGAGTTCTTGGTGAGCAGGAGCGCTGAGGCCTTGTGTGAGCACGGAGCGTGAGGTTTCCGTGGTGAGACGGACGTGACGTTCGTGTTGTCGCAGCAGGGGAGCGTTGAGTCGTTGCATGCATCAGGGACGCTGATGTCGTTGGTTGAGCAGGAGCGATGAGGCTTCGTGGTAAGCAGGGAGCGTGACGGTTCGTCGGTGAGCAGGAACGTGAGCTTCGTGCTTGACATGGAGCGCTGAGCGTTCGTGGCGAGCATGGAGCGTGAGCTTCGTTGGGGGGCCTGAGCAGCGGAGGTCGAGGTTCGTGCTGAGCAGGCGAGCGTGAGGTCGTGTAGCAAAAAACAACGGAGCGTGACGGTTCGTGTGAGCAGGAGAGCCGTGATCGTTCCTGGTCGACGCAGGGATGTGACGGTTCGTGTGCAGTCACGGGAGCGTGAGCTCGATCTCCACTGTGTCCCATGCCTCTGTTCGTGGTGAGCAGGGAGCGTGAGCGTTCTGTGCGTGAGCAGAGCAGTGAGGTTCTGCGTGAGCGATGGTTCGTTTGAGCAGGGACGTGAGGTTCGTCTGAGCGTGAGGTCGTGAGTGAGCAGGAGCATGAGGTTCTGGTGAGCGTGAGGTTTCGTATGAGCACGGACGGGAGTTCGTGGTGAGCAGGGAGACTGATCCGTTTCGTGGTGAGCTACGAACGTAGAGGATTCGTGCGTTGAGCATGAGCGTGAGTTCGTGGGGAGCATGGAGCGGACTACTGCGTGTAGGCTTCGTGGGGAGCAGGGCGTTCAGTTCGTGCGTGAAGCGTGGAGCGTTCGTGTTGAGCAGAGCGTGAGGTGGTCGTGAGCATGGAGCGTGACGAGCGTGGTGAGCAGTGAGCGTTAGGTTTCGTGTGAGCACGGAGCGTGAGTTCGTGTTGCAGCATGAGCGTGAGTTCGTATGAGCAGGAGCGTGACGTTGATGGCGAGCACTGAGCGTGAGGTTCGTGGCAGCAGGAGCGTGATGTTCGTATTGAGCAGCGGCAGCGTGATTCGTGGGTGAGCAGGGCCAGCGTGAGGTTCGTGGTGAGCACGGAGCGTGAGGCTTTCGTGGTGAGCAGGAGCGGAGGTTTCGTGTGAGCAGGGAGCGTGAGTTCGTGGTGAGCAGGGAGCGTGAGGTTCATGTGACGCGGAGCGTGAGGGTTCGTGGCGAGCACGGAGCTGAGTTCGTGCAAGCAGGAGCGTGAAGCGTTCGTAGTGAGCAGGGATGTGAGTGTTCGTTGGCGAGCAGTCGTGAGGTTCGTGGTACACGCGAGAGTGAGGTTCGTGTGAGCAGGGAGTGCTGAGGTTCGTGATGAGCAGGAGCGTGAGGTTTCGTGGCCGAGCACCACGAGCTGTGAGTCTCGTGGCGCAGCACGGAGCGTGAGGTTGCTGGGAGCAGGAGGTGATCGTCGTGGTAGCAGGAGCGTGAGGTTCGTGTGAGCAGGAGCGTGAGTTCGTGGTGAGCAGGAGTTGAGTTCGTGGTGAGCCAGGATGGTGAGCGTTCTGTCGGTGAGACACGGGCGTGAGTTCGTGGTGAGCATGGGACGTGAGTTCCTGGTGCCAGCACGTGAGTCGTGAAACACACACACACACACACACACACACACACACACACACACACACACACACACACACACACACACACACATTGCAACGTCATCGGGAGAATGGTTGTTAGATGTTGCTCAGTTCATGTGACTGCGACAAGGAGCATGGGAAACCTGATCCTGCATTCTGGAAAATGAGAACCTGCGACCTAGGATTTGCACCTGCGACTTAACATTCAGCCCGCTAACGATACAATGACAATTAAGCCACAGCTGCTATAGACGTTTTTCGCTCAGTAAAGCTGTGTGAATAAACATCTGCCATATTAAAAACTAAGAAATTTGTGCCTCAAATGAGTCAAATATGTCTAACATTAAAAATATTTTATTTCATGCTCATATACGTAATCGGCCGCGGCTGTGGCCTGTGTGGACTTATGGCTGAAATTTAAAGTTCACTTAAAGTTCACCCGAAAAATATCGATTAGTCTGATACTAGGTATAATTGTTTAATTCGATGCCTGTTAGAGGTATAGAGGTTAGAGGTAGACAGCATGTCTGCCAATGCTTGCAAAAGTTAAATACAGTGTGTTAGTTTTAAAAATCACAGTGGCTACGCGTCCGGTCATCCATTACAAATTAAGCTCAGCACAGATTCCCAAATCCACGGCACGATTAGGCGACGGCTCCTTTCAAATAGTTGATTTTACTGGATTTAATATTGCTTCAAAAGTTACAAAAACACATAAATTTGTTTGATAAAATACCTAAAGGTAAGTAATATTATGGTAAAAAATTATTGTTTATTGTTTTTTACTGATAAAAATATAGTTGGGTTCGCATAAGAAATATATGACCGGATGCGTTGCCTGGGAGCTGGGCGTCCGGTAACCGGACGAGAAGCCACGGCCTTTAAAAATACTATTGTACCATCACAACACCGTTTGGTTAAAAGTACGCTTCACAAATACAAAATGACAATACAGTATTATTAAAAATATTTTAATCTAAATCATTTTCATTATCTTGAGCAGGACCCACGTTAGTTTCCATAGACGCCCATTTATAATATTTGATGATGAGCAAGCCGATTGGCATGTGGTGAAATGACTTGGATTAGCTAGTCATAATACAATGGCAGAGCTTAACATTTAGGAACGCCACTTTTTTAAATGATATCTTGTTGCTATCATAGCAGATAATAGAATTTTCTTCTGGGAATTTTACAAAAAATGTACACTATTTAGTGTGTGCTACGACGAATAAACAGAGATGTTTGAAGACACTAAACATATGTATTGAGTTTCCCGACAGCGATTTGTAGTGACAGCGGTTTCTATGCTGTTTGCCTCTATTTATTAGGCTTATAGTTGCATTTACTGGCCAGCCTAATCTGTATAATATCACTCGAGTAGCATGTGTTTCGTGTGCACTAAATCTCACTCGAGAGCTATGGAATTAGCTTGGCGCAGTAATTGTTTTAATTACGTTATGCAAGGTAATAATTTAAGCTGCCACTTAGGGCACACTCATATGTGGAACTGTAACGTAGACAGCTGCCTATGACAAGGTCATTGCCTGCTCTTGGTGTTTTGTGTAATATGCCAATTAATTTACCTCATTTCTTCGAACATTTTCATAGAGGCATGGAAAAGCAATTATGCAAATCGCGTGTAACGCGCATAATTCGTTTACTGCCAATTGCAACCTAAAAAAAAAGATCATTCCCTCTCCCGATCGCACGTCATTAGTACTAAAAAGCCTGAAATGAGAACAATAATTCTGCACTACGTAGGATACCGCGTTCGCCTCACCTTCCTCGTTCCTCGTTCCTCGTTCCCTATATCACACGAGTTCGCTGAGGTGATGTCTAGCTGCCGAACGAGAAAGCAACAGTGAGCGTGCGGGTCAGGCGCCTGTTCACGCGAAGTGACGATTCTGACGAAGGCCCAGCGCGTATCTCACTTGTGTTGTGTCATCGCTATTAATAGCGCACTGCGTGAGTCAGTCAGTACCTCGCTCGCTGGTGGTGTAACTCAGGCGAGTGTAGCGCAGGCGATCATACCGCGCGAAACATGTTGGTTCATGTCGACGACGTTGCTGAGACGTTTGGTGCACGCATCACTAAACAGTAGTGACGTTTACTATTTGTCTAATCGTAGCTCAGCTACTGCAATATAAGAATGTCATTAGCCGCTGGTACTGTTACTTTCCTTTAATTTAAAAAAATCGCATTCGCGGCAGACGAGACTGCGCAGTGTGTGAAAACGTCGTTGCTACGTTTCCGCGCTTCTGTCCCGATTTCATATGGCAGACGTGTGCCGCGCTCGGTTAACATTTCCGCCGTACGTATAACAGCGACGTATGGTGACAGTCTAGTGGTTGTACGCGGCAGATGAACAAACGTGGGTGCAGCGTTTTGTAATTTATTTGAATGGCATTGACTACCTAACCGGTGCATGGTGCCTTGTTTATCAAGTACATAAAATGTGGGAAGTCTTCTCTCCTCACAACCAGACACACAACATATCAAGAGCTCATAATAGAGCTCTATGTTATGAGCTCTTGAACATATGTTACCCCTGTAATCTGTAACTGTATGTCTGCATCAGTAAGAGAGAGTCCCTCCCAGGGGTTTTAGGGAACAAGGGAACAGGAGCATTAACTTTCAGCAGGGAACAGGGGATATTGTCGAATTAGTTTCAAGGAACAAGGGAACTGCTTATTAGATTTTTGGGAACAAGGGAACTCTGATTTTCCATCTTTGTGATTTTTTTTACAATTTTCTGAGACTGTTTACAATAAACTTTGAAGTATTTCAGGGTCATTTCAACATCGTTCACGAGACAATTATGGGGGAACAGTGGTAAATGTTTTTTGGGATTACGGGAACTGGAAAATAATTTTCGGGAACAAGTTATTTTACTAATGGGGAACAAGGGAGAAAAAATCCATAAACATTAAGGGATCAATAGAACATGTACCCCCCCCCCCGGGGAAGGGCTCAAGAGAGTGGGTGCTAACGCGAGATAATATATCCTTGACTGTGACTATTTAACTGGCACAGTGACAACTGGAAAAACCTCACATCGATAAAGGTCATCTATAAAAGTCGTTTACTGACAGTGCGCAATATATAGAGGTAACCATTTTTTATCTGGTATATGCCCATACGTGGTGCGTCTAGAAATCGGGTAGATATGACTCTATAGCTATGTTTAGAAATATTGTAGTCTTATCTCTGGTAAAGCAGATTACGTCATTAGTCCGTTATTATACATATATATATATATATATATATATATATATGTATATATACACGGGTGTTCGTGTGTGACTTTACTTCTATATATATATATATATATATATATATATCTAAAGGCATCGCATATAAAGGCTATTGCAGAGATATGACTAGCCAACCAGAATACTTCGTGACAAGCATAATAATTATAGTTTCGATAAGTTCGCTATAGTCATGCGAGTAGGTGGTGTTGTATGGATGATATGCAATAGATTGATGAGCTCGCAGGTTCGCTTGTATGCTAGGTGTGTTACGCACTTGGCCCGAGGGGGTGTGGAAGTGATATCATCAACACTCCGTAAAAATTAAATTATAGTACTAATAGTAGTGTTAAATAACCAGTCGGTTATGTATAATTATACGTTGTAATTAAACTGTATATATACTGCTGCATATTGTCTCATTCATGATATTTTTGCATTTTGCCTGCTTACTGAAATCACTATAAAAAATCGTTACTGTCGGGTTCCTATGTTCACTTGCTTGTTTGCACAGCACGTCAGGCAGCAGATATATATGATACTGCCACTTGTGTCTGCCACGTAGGATAGGTATACTGATCGGTCGGTCGGGTCGGTCGGTCGGTCGGTCGGACGGTCGGTCGGTCGGTCGGTCGGTCGGTCGGTCGGTATGCACACGGACGTGTGTATAGATGTGTGCATGTGTGGGTGTGACTGTTTGTATAGATGTGTGCATGTGTGGGTGTGACTGTGTGTATAGATGTGTGCATGTGTGG